TAAAAAATATTTTTATTTATTTTTGAGACAGAGAGAGACAGAGCATGAGCAGGGGAGGGGCAGAGAGAGAGGGAGACACAGAATCCGAAGCAGACTCCAGGCTCCGGGCTGTCAGCACAGAGCCCGACGCAGGGCTCGAACCCACGACCTATAAGATCGTGACCTGAGCTGAAGTCGGATGCCTGACCACCCAGGCGTCCCGAATATAGGCCACTTCTGTGGTGCCGGGCTTACAGTCATCTAAAAATCTCTTTTATATTATTTTTTCTGGTTGTATGTTGGTGCAATTCTCCCCCTTTTGTTTGCTTTCTTCTCTTTTTATTTCTGTTTGTCTGGTTTTTGTTTGTTTGTTGTGGGGCTATTTGTTTTGTGGTCTGGAGCCAGGCATCTTCTTAAGACGTATATTAACGGTAATAAAATGCGTTAGCTGTTTCTGTGAATAGTGAGTGGTATTGTGTTTAGAATTGCCGCCTACTTCGTCTACTGACAGCAAGCCACGGCCAGCGAGCTGGTCTCAGAGGCCCAGTCACATCCCGAGTTTGCAAGACGCAGTTTACAAAGACCCTCCAGAGGGAAAGCCCAGCACCCGCAAGGCTTCTTTATTTCCACGGGAGGGCGCTGTGGCACTTCCTGAGGACTAAGGGGTTGCCTGCGAAATTTTGGACTGATGGCTGCCAGGTTTCCAGTTGGTTCGAGGGTCTTTTTAGATCTCCGGCCCTGTGTGCTCTTGTGAAGCCTGGGAAAAGCCCACTGGTGTCTGGTGTAGAGAGGGAGTGGGCAAAATTATGTTGAGGGAGAGAAAGAGCTGGATTGTGGAAGACTTCACGGACTTAATTTGGTGTAAAAACAATGAGGGCTAATTGCAGACTTTGTCAAAGGGAAACTGGAGAGGAAAACATTATTGATTACACATTTATTAAGCGGCTACTGTATACATGAACTTTGGAGGCCCTGGGAACCCAGTGATGGCCAGGGGCCAGCCGCTGCAGAAGGAGCCCAGCCAGTGCAGGGTGGGGGTGCAGACTTGTTCCCTCCACAACACCCCCACGGACCCCTCAGCTCAGACTCTTTGCCAACACAGAGCTGCAGGGAGGCTTGGCAATCTAGTAGGGTGTGGGCACGCAAGGAAGCACCTTGGGCCACCCCTGGTCCAGCGTTTGTTGAAGACGGTCCCGGTTCATGGGAAGACCCTTCCTAATGACATAATGACGCGCTGGATCCAGCGTGGAGCCATTTCCTCCACTCCTGGAGCATGGCCTCCATCACCTTCCCCCTCCCCATCCACACACCTTCTTTGGAGACGTTACGGTGCACCTCTCCTGTGTGTGGCACAGAGCCAGACCCTGCCACTGCCTTTCATGGCACAAAAACTACCCCCTCGGCATCATGGCTGTTCTCACCCCAGCAGGGAAACTGGCCCCGGGGCGTTAGTGACACCATCAGAGCATTGGAGAGGAGGTAGAACTGAGGCCTGCAGGCACGTGTGGGTTACACTGCCACTCAGGGGCCGTTAGACCCCCTACCCTGCACCCTCCTGCTGTGCCTCAGGGTATGTGGTCAATAACTTTTCCCTGGACTTGTCTTTGAGCTCACGGACAGAGGACATATTGAATAACAAGCTGACTTTAGACCTACATTTTATTACATCAGAAAGCAAATCAACCTTGAACTGTTAGTTTTGGATTTTATACAAAGAGATAATGCTGCCACCCTCTCTCTCTCTCCAATCTCCCAAATTACGTGTGGTCTCTGTTGGTTTATACTTTCTGGGGTAACCGTTTCCTATTCCTTCTTAAATGCGATGCTCCCAAATTGCTTTCGTTGAACGTCACGTTCTCTGTTCTTGTCTCCAAATATACCCTCTGTTAGCGATTTACAGTGAGTGGACGTTGTTTTCTAACAGTGATCGAACGGGGGCACGTGGGTGGCTCTGTTGGTCAAACACCCAACTCTTGATTTCAGCTCAGGTCACAATCTCACAGTTTGTGAGTTCAAGCCCTACATCGGGCTCTGAGCTGACAGTGAGGACTCCTTGGGATTCTCTCTCTCTCCCTCTCTCTCTGCCCCTCCCAGCTCTCTCTCTCTCTCTCCAAATAAATAAACATTAAAAGATTAAAAAAAAAAAAAAAGATGGGGTGCCTGGGTGGCGCAGTCGGTTAAGCGTCCGACTTCAGCCAGGTCACGATCTCGCGGTCCGGGAGTTCGAGCCCCGCGTCGGGCTCTGGGCTGATGGCTCGGAGCCTGGAGCCTGTTTCCGATTCTGTGTCTCCCTCTCTCTCCGACCCTCCCCCGTTCATGCTCTGTCTCTCTCTGTCCCAAAAATAAATAAACGTTGGAAAAAAAAAAAAAAGAACAATGATCAAATGACATAGGTTCAATGAGAGCAGTACCGCCTGCCCCCAGGCACTGCTGGCCCTCGTCCTGGCACCCCTAACTGCTGGACACTGCCCTCTCCCGCCTCAGCGATGGTTGTGGGGCACCTAGGGCCACAGTGACTTCTGTGCAGACAGTGGAGGAAGATCTCTTTGCTCTTCTGTGTTACAGGCTGTCAACAGGCATCAAAACAGAAATGCTTGAACTTCCTGAGGTCTTCTGAGGACAGCCTGTCTTCAGTTCTTTCTCATAATAGGGCTTAGATAATGAGTTCAAAGCAGGGCAAGGCAGGAGACAAATCTAAGTAACAGACAATATTTTATTGTTCCCTTTGACCACGGGGGAGGCTTTAGTACCAGGCAGGCCTTCCAGGCCTGGCTCTATTCCAGGGAGGCGGGTTCTGCCCCCAAAGGCCCCCCACCCCCTCTTGCAGATGGTGTCCTGGTGTCTGTCCAGCAGTCTTCAGACGCACGGCAACACCGCCTAGGAGGAGGTCGAGGCTCTGGGCCCACACAAAACCTCCTGGCTAGCTATGTAGCTCTGTCCCATTTAACTTAAGGGGGGAAGCTCCAACTTTTATTTTTTTTTCCAACTTTTAGAAACCACGCGACATTTGTATTGGAAAAGAAAAATCAAAATCATGCGTACATACACATATGAAAAATTAAAGCCTGTTGACCAAGCAGCGAACTTTAGTACTTATGCAAATCAAGTTGCAATACAACAGAACGTATATTGGCATTGTCATTCATGATCCATGTTTAACAGAAATAAAGTTTCAAATGCCAATTTTAGGACAGTAAGCTCGAGGAAGAGACTGTGAGATGTTCAAAGGAAAATGACATTTTTCCTTGCATGTTGTCCTTCATCCGTGTCGCCAGGGTATGACTATAGGTAATTTTCTAGGTGCCAACACCTGCTGGACCACTCTAGGCTTCTGGGTGGGGCAACCCACCACTACGGAATGAAATGGGGGGCCCATGGCCACGTGGGGTAGTGGGCAGAGGACCAGATGCAGACCCTGGTGAGAATTCAGCCTCCAACATCTGCCTGCTATGCAAATCCCTACACAGAATTTGCATTTAAAAGACAGAGAGGAGGCACTTAAGGGGATTCCAGATTGAATTTTTTCCTGGTCTATATTTGATCTATTATTTTACTTAAGTATTTTTTTAATGTTTCTTTATTTTGAGAGAAAGAGAGTGTGAGCGGGGGTGGGGAGAGCAGAAAGAGAGGGAGAGAAAGAATCCCAAGCACTGACAGTGCAGAGCCTGATGCAGGGCTTGAACCCACAAACCGTAGGATCATAACCTGAGCTGAAATCAAGAGTTGGATGCTCAACCAACTGAACCACCCAGACGCCCCTTATTTAAGTATTTTTATTTTTATTTCAATAGCCATACTTCTCAATTAAGAATTTCTATATGATGGGGCACCTGGGCAGCTTAGTCAGTTGAGGTCTGACTCTTGATTTCAGCTCAGCTTATGATTCCAGGGTCGTGGGATCAAGCCCTGCATCTGGCTCTGTGCTGAGCGTGGAACCTGCTTAAGATTCTCTCTCTCTCTCTCTCTCTCTCTCTCTCTCTCTCTCTCTCTCTTTCTCTCTCTCTGCCTCTCTCCCCTGCTCAAGTGCACTCTCCCTCTCTCCAAAACAAAAAAAGTATACAATTTTTTTTAAATTTTAAAAAGAGTCCCCATTTATTGATAGTTCACCGTGTACCACCCGAGGTGGAGAATTTGCAAATGTTCTCGCTAAATCCTTAGCACATATCTACTAGCCAGGTTTTATTGCCCATATTTCACAGATGAAGAAACTAAGGCATAGCAAGATGAAATCTCTAGTTAGCTCACATAGCTAATAAATAGTCCAGGGGTCAGTTCTGACTCCGAGTGCGGGGCTCCTACTCATGCTAAGCTGCTCCCATTCCTTCCTCCCTACCCATCCCATCCCTCGCCATCTTACTTACCCTTACCTTCCTGCTAATATGCATCCTCACGCTGCCTCAGTCTCCATTACAATCTGAGTCCTGGAGGCTCAATTGTTGCTTAATGTGCTGAATGATGTGGCTGCCTGTTGCACAATCCCAGCATGGAAAGAGAAAAGTGCCCACATTACCTGCCCTGGCCCTGTGATTGGCACCCTCTCTATTTCAAGCTGTCGCCTTCTAATGTTCTAACAAGAACGCCAGAAGCAACGACGTTCCACATCCCTACATGTTTTCTAGAGATGACGTAACAAGTAGTGAAGACAGGCTACCAGCTGAGAGCCTTGTTAGATTCAAGACGAATGGAGACTTGGTCCCCTCTTACTGGTCTTCCACTAACTAGCCTCATACATTTTCCCTCTCCACTTTTAAGAAGTCTAATCAAGGCAATCTATGGAGAAGAATGTTCTCTCTGTTTTTTAGTCTCACTGTAACTCCTTTTGAGAGTCCAGGTAAGTCTTTGGAAACCAGGAGAAATCCTCCTGTCCTATGAGTGGCAAGTGGCCCATGTCACTATCTACTAATTCCTGAATTGCCCTTCACCTGTGCATGTACAAGTTTGCCTCCACTCAGATCGCTATGACCCCCAGTGACAAGATGATTCATCCTATTTCTAACCACTGGTGCCAGACTTGCCTATTCAATAAGATGATGAGGTGGTCTCAAAACTAAGACACCCGAGAAGTACCTGAAGAAAGAGATAACAGAGGTCAGAGAAGGGTAGCATGATACAACATGGATGTCCCTAAATACCTACAGCCCAACATATAGAGCAGAGAATTGACTTAGGCTATGTAGATCTTGAGGGGGAGAATCTGGGTCCATTTGTGAGGTTACAAGGTAGGCAGGTCTTGACTCGATATGAAGGAAAGAGTGATTTAGCAATAGAATGCACTGCCAGCATGGTGGAGAGATTCCTGTATGTAAATGTCTTCAAGTAAACACCACACACACTGGAGGGGGGCCTCTGAGCTGAGTGGGAAGTTGCCCTAATGCCTCTCAGACAGCAATCGTGCATAGGGGCCCAATCTACCCTGGGCAGGAGGCAGGTCCTAGGGACACAAGATTAAAAATAACATAGACACTGTTGTCCCATGAGACCCTTTCCAATTCGGGGCATTGTGTTCCTGTGGATTTAACGTCAGCTGAGGGCAGGAACCACAGCTTACACTTTTCTTGTGTGTTTATAATAACCAACATAATGCTGTACAGCCAGACCCAATGTGACCATCTGAGGACAATCTTCCTTCTTGTCTGAAAGTGCCACTCATCTTGTTTTGAAGACATCAAAAGTTGATGACAGAGACCAGCAGGACAGATGGATGTGATTTTCTGCATTGACTCTCATGCTCCTGGAAAACATTTAACCAGAAATAATGTAATGACTTACCTTTTATTTACCTTCTAAACCTGAAGTCAAGATAATTTCAACACCCACTGAGTCACCGCTAAAGTCAATAGGTCAAAGTCTCCTCTGCAAAATTGATTTCCAGATATTTTCCACTGACTGAAATTACGTGAATAAATTAATTTATTTATTCTTTTAATTGTTAACCAAGCTCAATACATTTTTCTATTTTTTCACCTTTCTTCAACTATAGCACACAGCCATGTTTTCTATTATCAAGAATAATGATTTGCTCACTTAAAGGCAATGCACAGCAGTCAACCTTCTCAGCTTTCTTTGGGCCCTCTGGTCTTTTGGTTTGGGGTTCATAGAGAAAAAAATGATTGGGCCAAATCTAGGCTCCATCGCTGTGTGATGTGGTCAAGTTGCAGAACCTCTCTGAGCCTGTAAAGGAGGAAAGATGAGAATAGTAAAGCTCCTGTGGAGTTCTGAAGAAAACACAGCGATTTCCACAGAATAAGGAGTCGCTAACACGAGCTCTGGTGGTGACATTTTCCTGAGAAGGAGCTATTCCAGCCTCAGAAAGCCCGATCTCCCCATTCTTTCTTTAACCCTGTGGTGGTTCTAGCTTTTGCGAGACTGGACGTTTGCGTGGGTGTCAAGGCCACAGGGAATGGTAAGAACGGTAGGAAGTTTTCCCTCAAACAAAAGATAGTTTCTTTTGTGATCATGAAAAGCTAACCCCAAGGATTACTGTGTTCTTGGGGCAGATTTCACACATAGCATCACCAGCCAGAACGATGAAAGAACTTTCCTTGAGGGGCGCCTGGGTGGCGCAGTCGGTTAAGCGTCCGACTTCAGCCAGGTCACGATCTCGCGGTCCGGGAGTTCGAGCCCCGCGTCGGGCTCTGGGCGGATGGCTCAGAGCCTGGAGCCTGGTTCCGATTCTTTGTCTCCCTCTCTCTCTGCCCCTCCCCCGTTCATGCTCTGTCTCTCTCTGTCTCAAAAATAAATAAACGTTGAAAAAAAAAAATTAAAAAAAAAAAAAAAAAAAAAGAACTTTCCTTGAAAGAGTAGAAAGATTTCTGTCCTGGGTTTAGATAAGGCCTCTTCTCCAGGGCTGGGACTAAAGTGTGACACAGGAGAGGCCTAGGGTACAACACTGAAGGAGATGCAACCCTGAGGATGAGCGACTCCTTAAATTTTACACCTTCACCCTGGCCCTGGCCCTTGCCCCGCCCTAGTCCAGGATTACTCTTCCCCCATCGATCCCCTCAAATGCAGGTTCTCTTTGGGGTTTAGATCTGCAGATCCAGGTCATGGTTATGGGTGAAGCTTGTGGAACTCTTTCCCCACCCAAAGAAAGGGGGTAATTAATCACCGCTGGTCACTGTGACTTAATTTTTGCCACGCTGAGTTCAGCCCCACATCTCCCAATTTTAGTGTGTTGGCACTGAGTGCAAAGGGCTTTTTCCAAATTATTTCCAGGGCAACTGGTGCTAAGTTACCTTCACAGAAAACCCGATTGGTCCTTGGAACAAGGGTAGTTTGTATTCCATTGACCGATGTTTTGGATTGGAGAAATAAATTCCAATCTGTCGTCACAAGACAAACATTATGATGATTTTGTATAATAATCTAGAGTTCTTAGCTGATGAGACGTTGCTGGGCCACGTGAGTCAAGGTGAGCTGCTTTACGGCAGATGGTGTCTTCTCATCACTCTACATCCAGGCACCTGACATCACAGATATTGGGTGTTCGATAAACGTTTGTTCCATGCCCGTATGAATGAAGAAACACCAGGCTTACCAGAAATTAATACTCGGCCTTCTCTGGGCCAAGGCCCTTTAAGTACCAAAAAAGGGCAGAGCCAGAAATCCAGCCCAGCAATTAAAGCACCAACCCCTGCCACTTCCTCCCTGCGAAAACCAATTGTCCCTCTGCTTGCTGCTGACGTACACTTGTCGTGTTCTGTTTCGTGAGAGAACGGGTTGCTAGCTCTCACCTCAGTTCTCAAAGCGTGACTCGGTATTACACCCCCTTCTAGTTCTATCCTTCCCCTCTGAGGGCTGTGCCAGGCAAACCCTGGCAATTCTGACCCCATGATCCTTCTTCTTGTCTTGGCTCTTGATTGGTAACTATAAATGCAATATCTGCCTTGGAATAGTTCAAATGCATCACTGCCCTGGTGGGGAGCCCTATTAACAACTGCAGAGGACCTGGTGCCATTTTCAGCTGCCATCTTGAGAACCCTGCCATCAGCCACACGGGGGCTCCATCCAGCAAGCTCTGCCCAGCGCCCTGCTGCCATGTCAGGCAGGCTGTTGACCCTCTACTGGCCCTTAGGCTCTCGGGCCCGTTCTCCTCAACCAGCTTTCGCAAACCTCTGATAACCTCAGCACACTCAGACATGGCTTAAATGGAAAGAGTATTGTCTTAGTACAGTGATGTGGGCCTTACAGATAAATGCACAGATAAGTAGTTAAAACAATGAGACGAATGACCAGAAAGTTGGGTAAATGCCCATCCCCAATTGGCATGCAAAAAAGTTGGAGCCAGGTGGATGAAACGAACCCAAGATCACTTATAAGTGCATGCACCTGGCATGTGAAAACCTTCCCAAGTTTGAAATTTGTGCCATGAGACACAGTGAATACCTGTAGCCCTCCCTTTGACACCCTTGGCTACAAATTTCTTAGAAAACATACCAAGATATTGTTTATTTTCATTTTCATTTTCATTGTCAGTAGGTAAATGGCAACACTTCTATCTAAGGAAATTGAAAAAAAAATTCAGGGACCATTTTTTCGGCTTGACTCTAAAGTATTTCAGTGTGTAAGCAGTGGGGCGCCTGGGGGGCTCAGTTGGTTGAGCATCCGACTTCGGCTCAGGTCATGATCTCACGGTTCGTGGGTTCGAGCCCCGCATCAAGCTCTGTGCTGACAGCTCAGAGCCCGGAGCCTGTTTCAGATTCTGTGTCTCCCTCTCTCTCTGCCCCTCCCCCACTCGCGCTCTGTCTCCCTCTGTCTCAAAAATAAATAAACGTGAAAAAAAAATTTAGACTATTTCAGTGTGTAAGTATTAGACATATGGAGTAGTTGCGATAAAGCCAAAGATACTCATAAAATACGTTTAAAAAGGGTTCTGATGATTTTTCCCATTGCTGAGTTCCTGTAAAAGTCAGCATGGAAACAGTAGCCAAGGAAACGAGACAACACCCGACCTGACCTACCAGTCCAATGGTGGAGATATAAATCGGCATGGTCTTGCTAGTAGGCAATTTGGGCAGAAAAACTGAGAGCTTTAAAATTGTCCAAATTATTTGAACCACTGATTTCACTGGTTAAGAATCCATCCTGCAAAAAGAACTAGAAAGCCAAAGATTCCTAAATAAAATGTTCATTGCAGCTTTCTCTGCGATAGTAATCAACTGAGAACAAAGTAAAAAAATACCCAACAATAAACGAATGGTTACACTGTGATACACACGATAGAATCACAGGCACGCATTATGTTTTCTAAGTGTGTTTAATGACGTGGGAATATATTCAAATTGTGATGTTAAATGAAAAAATGAAGATAAAGTTTCATATGCACTATGATCTATATTATATTATTATATATAAAATAATTACATATAATTCTTGGCATAGAAAAAAAGACAAGATGGAAATGCCCCGAAACATTGCCACTGTTAAAAAAGAAAGAAAGAAAAAGAAACATTGAGCTATGTATCTCTGGATGATGAGATTATGGATGAGTTTTGATAGGATTGATAGGGTGCTAGGTGAGATATTAATTGCTCTTTATTACATGCTTTCTTTTTCTACCATCAGTGAACCGAACCCATCCGTAGTGCTTTCGAAATTGTCACCCATGGAAGATCTAAGAACCAAGATACCAAAAGAAGTGCTCCAAATGCAAGAAAAAAATGATCAAACTGAACATTTTTTTTCTCCCTCCTCCCCACCCTCAGGTTGGGATGAGAGCTGAACCACCCCCGAACAGCATGGAAATCCCAAATCGGAGACCCTGAACCTCACTTCAGGGGTGGGAGTCAGGGAAGGGGTGCATGGGTAGCACAGGGAGACATCACAGCACAGAAGGAGTCTCCTGCCTAGTAGGATGGCACCAGAGCAGTTGGTGGGGCCATGACTGCAGTATCTAGATGGATGGGCTTAAAGGAAGCCTCGGGAAGCCCGCTACACCCTGGGTGGCCTCAATAGCCAAATTTTCCAAAGCTTAAAGAAGGGGGTAGTACTTAGCTGAGAAAAGGCCTCTGGTTTAGGAAGGGTCCCAGGGCTGAGACAAAGGGACGCCTGATCACAGGATGCAGGAGGGACATCTTGCTAAGGACGAGATGAGGCCAGCAGGACATTAGCTAGCTCGTGGGTGGACAGGCCAGCTGGCTGTGCCTGAGGACCAGATGAGATGGGTCACCTGGCCGAAGGGGCCAGCGCAGACCCTTACAGCACAGGCAAAGGCAGACGCCTCTCTCTGCCCTTAACTAAAGGGTATTGCCTAAGTCTCCCCCTCCCCACTCAGGCTTCCTTCTAACCCCGGGGGGCCAAAAGCAGCATAAGGGGCAAACCTAAACGGGACTGGGCTGCAACCAAGCAGCCGAGAAATAAGGCCACCTATAACTGACTGGGTTAAATTTCACAAAAGGGGGCTCAGACTCAGAAATTCCAGTGCGTGTGTGGGGGGGGGTGGGGTGGATACATTTAGATTTTATACACTCGAGCTTCTGACATATGAACTACGTACCCACTGCATATATTTTTCTGACTTCCCAGTTTTTAGTGATGGCCACATTTTGTATCTTAAAAGATTAAAAGAAAAGCACTGCGCCCACACAGAGGTGCTCATGAGTCAAAGCCCTGAAGGAAATAGGGCAGAAGGTGGATGAAAGGTCACCCTTGGTCCTGAGGATCAACTTGCCAGATGACCAGAGCTCGTGTTGTGTCTCTAAGAGCCAGGACGCCGCTCTCGGAGAGAACGTGGAGTCCCGACCACAGCTTCTGAGCGTTTGTCATGAAGATTCTACAGGATGGTGTGAGCACTTGGGAGGGAGTGTGCCAACAGTCCTTACAGTTGCCTTCTTGGCCATGCCATATATCCCCCTTACTTACCTCCAAGCTCCCAGAAAATCGATATGGATAAGCTTCCTTGTAGAAGGTCTCCTTCTTTTTTTTTTTTCTCCCAAGAAAATGAAGTGTTGTCCTCTGAAACACTACTCAGACAACTGGGTAAATCTGTCTACCACATAATGGTGACCTCTAAATATGTGAAGAACAGGTAGGTCTTCATGTTAGGGCTTCTTTGCTCCAGGCTAAACCCAGCCAGGTCTCTCTGCGATATTTTCCAAGCCTCTCACTGCCGTGCCCACCCTCCACTGGGATTGGCAAGGGCCACTTACGAGCAGGGCCTGGAACCCACACTGTGGCCCTGGGCTCTGGCCGTCAGGACCTTAATTCGGCTAAGGCTGTGAAGGGCATCATGGGAGTGTTTGTATTCTTAGCTGCCCCCAAAGCAGCTCAGCCTGCAGCGTGGGACTCAAGCCCAGAGCTTGGCCAAGGGAGTTTCTGTTAGACGAGGGCTCCCCTCCGCGCACTTGTGAACTGGCCGAGGCGCCAGTGGCATCCAGCTACCCAGGGCCCAGGCCGTGCGTTCTGAAAGGGCAGCCCACCCCGCCCTGCTGCAGGCAATCCTCCTCTCACCCCTGTTCCACACTTCAGGCAGAAATCTTTCCCTTCCTCTCTTCTTTTCTTCAAGGACCTTACCCAAGGTCTCAGCATCTCCCAAAGCTCTCCCTGCTCACTCTGGATCACCTGTATCTTTGCTACATCTGTGGGCCTCGTTCTCCCTCCAGGAGGAGATAAGTCTCTTTCATATTAGACGACTTTATCACTTTGCTGCCGGGCCCTACTTTCCCCTCACGGGCCCCATGCCGTGCTCAGATCTCAGTAGAGGGCACTTCCTCTGCTGAACCCACAGTACTCCAGGGCTGGCTGTGCCGGCCCCTCCTCACCTTGCCTTGGTGCACACCTCCTCCCCTCTGTGTTCCAAGCTGACTCCGGAGCATCTCCCCACCCCCTTCCACCTGCCCCCAGCAGCATTGACTTTGGCAGATTTCTTGGGGACCAGAGATGTCCTAACCTGTTTGCTTTTCCGGGGCTGATGTTTGCAAGGGTTTACTTGGAACCAGAACAGAAATCATCCCACGTCCTTATGCAATTCCCCCGGCAGGTTCTGACAGATAAATAAAGCCTTTGGCCCTCCATTGGTCTACTTTTCAGAGAAGAGCCCCTGGGTTGGTCCTGAGGCTTCCAGCCATCTGCCCACCTGCTAGGGTCCCTCTGGAGCAGCCATGAAGTCCCTCGCCCTGCTCCTTTGCCTTGCTCAGCTCTGGGGCTGCCATGCCGCCCCGCATATACCAGGTCTGGTTTATAGGGAACTGGACTGTGATGACCCAGAAACAGAGCAAGCAGCCCTGGTGGCCGTGGACTACATAAATAACCACGTTCTTCAGGGCTACAAGCACACCTTGAACCAGATTGACAAAGTGAAGGTGTGGCCTCGGGTAAGTGAGCCTTCTGTGTCTGAGCCGAAAGAACCCATGTGTGGAGCTCAGCTGGGTGTCTCAAAGATCACATCTCCCAACACAATTAAAACTGCAGAGGGTCAAACTCTCTGATTTCTTCTCAGGAGTGAGGGAGGGGGCAAGTGGGGGAGCGAGACATTCTGAGCTGTGGTCATGGGTCTCAGAGGGTGCTGGATGGGGGTGAGGAGGTGTGTGGGACAAGAAGGGCTTCGAGGAATATTTTGAACAGCACAGGTAGAAAGTGCGGCTTGCTAGAAAACTCTATGCACAAGATGCAGGATTCTGGCCGATTGGAAATCACTTCTCTTTCTTTGCTTCCGTTTCTCTGGATGAAGACTGAGAATGAATGAAACTAGCATTTGACAGCCATCTACTGTGCGCCAGGCCCCTTCCCACACACGATCTCCTTACTCCCTCCCAGCCCCCAGTCCTGTGTGGTAGGTATTGTCCTTGTCTTACATGAGAGAAGCCCGAGCCTCTGACATTAGGGCATTTTGTTGTTGTTCAGGATCATATAACTTGTAAACATTGGGCTGGGATTTGATTCTGAACCCATGTTCCTTCCTCTACACGAGTTACCTCCCAAAGAGAGGTGCCCACCTCTCAGAAAGAAATCTTGGCACGAATGGCGTTTACCTCTTCACAAGCTAGACAAGTAATCGATGCAGTCTGAAGCCAGTGACAATAAAGATTAAGCTGGAAAATATGGCTTGTGGAACAGTCGAGAGATTTGGGGCAATGGGGAAAAGGTATATGTCTACTGCCTATTTTGAATTAGATTTTATATCTGATGAAGGGTGATTCTTGCAGCAAACAATTGAATACAAGCCTTTCACGGGCAGGAACCAGTGTCACGTGCCATGAGAGATATTAAGCTGAACCGTAAGAAATTTCTACTTTTGTATATTAAAACCAGTCAAATATTGGCATTTTAATGGTTCAACCTAACATAAAAGTGAGAAAGTTTTTCTTTCGAGCTCAAACTCGAAAGATATGTACAAGATATTTACAACCCAAAGGAGGGAATAAGGTACAAGATGTTTACAACCCAAGATATTTACAAGGTATTTACAACCTACAAGATATTTACAACCCAAAGGAGGGAATAAGGTAAGTATCTGGAGGTCGGGACTAACCTCTGATCTCACGGTGGGACAAATATTAGACATCAGGATGGATTTTAGGAGGGCTGCAACTGTACTGACGCCCAGTGGTGGTTCAGAGGAAACACCCACGAGGTCAGGGGAAATAACACACAATATCAGCATTTGAGGGAAAAGTAAGGAACGGAGGTTGCAATCTTCACTAAAGGCAGAGCTTGACAGGTGCTTTCCTAGAGAAACCCAGGAGTACCTGCTTCTATTTCTGCAGCTGTGAGTGTCTTCAGGACGTTTAATTTGGGCACATCTGCACATCATAAAACACAGCTTCTCCTTGGCAAAGAGATCCCTAGGTTTCGGGTAGTAGCGAGTCAGGCAGAACTAAATGAGAGGCAATCAGAGCTGGGCTAAAAGAAAAAAAAAACATACTTGTATATGCTGGACTTTCCAGCCTTTGCAGAAAGGATACAGAAACATGAACTGGCAAGAATAACCACAAGGAGTTTCAGGGCTCCCCTATCTGCCTTCCTTGCTATTCCTTCTAGACGGTACCAGCAACTCACAGCTTCCGCAGTCTCAGAGGGAGGCTCGCGCTTCCCCTTCGTCTCCAGCAGGGGGCAGTAGAGGGCAGCAACTAGGCAAGCCCAATGACAAACCGCCAAGGACAATTTTTCCTTTAGGAAGGAAAAGAAAATGGAGAAGGAGGGAAATTAGATGATGAGAGGGAAAGCAGAAAGAAGCAGCGGGAGGGATGGAGCAGATACAGGAGAGACCATTAAGGTAAGATATTATCCTACACCCCCTTACTTTGCCACTTGATTGAGAAAAAACGAAAGCTGATTTTTTTCAAAGCGCCGATCGAAGCGTGAAATTTTCAAAGCGAAGTATCAGTGCTCACGTTAGCTTCCAAGTAGAGCTCAGGGTGATGACTGTGGTTCCATCAACCCGTCCAAGGCCACGGTCCCTTCTTCCTTGCAAACACCGTCTGAGCTCGCGCAGCCGACAGAAGTAGACCTGAGAAGCCCTGGTCCCTGTCCTGCCCACAGGCCAGGTCAGAGCTCGGTGGAGGTGCAGACTAACAGTAGCAATGACCTGTCCCTCGCCTCTCCAACAGGCGTTACTTCCAGCCCGCTGGGTGCTCACGCTCTCGCCCGCGCAACGGGATCAGGCCGCTCACTGCTTCATTCTGTGTCTCCACAGCGGCCAATGGGGGAGGTGTTTGAGCTCGAAATAGACACGCTGGAAACCACGTGCTACATACGGGACCCCACCCCCGTGGCAAACTGCACCGTGAGACAACTGATGGAGCATGTGAGTGCCCCGTTTAGAGTGACTGCAGGTGGTGCCCCAGCCAGGCCCCTGGTGGTTCTGCAAAGTGCAGGCCCCGTGTTGCCCAGCTCCCCAGCCTGCCTTCATGGCTAGCCAGCGTGCAGTCGCTAAAATTACCATTGGATGCTGCCTTCCCTGGGGCTGAGTCTTACAACAGTTGAGCCCTCTTGTTGTAGCCCTTCCCCCACACCAGTGAACACCGTATGTCAGTGTCACCGGGTCAAGGTGATTTCATGAGGCTCATCTTTGACAACCACGTCTGAGGGAGCGCCCCACACCCCAGCCCCGGGATCCCAGTGGAAAATGAAAGGCCAGCCCTCCTTCTGAGGCTTCACTGTGGGTTTATTTCTCCAGGCTGTGGAAGGGGACTGTGATTTCCAGGTGCTGAAACAGGATGGCCAGTTTACCGTGTTGTTTGCAAAATGTGATTCCAGTCCAGGTAGAGATGATGATGATGATTATTGTTCTTATTTTTACCTTGTGGAGTGAGGAAGGGACCTGCGTTGTTTTCAGCGTAACTAGTTTGAGCTACCTTGTTGGTGAGGAAAAGAAGGGGCCAAATCTCCTGGGATCTGGAATTGTAAAACTGTTTTTTTAAGGAGCTGTTGTCACTGGAGGTGGAAATTGCCCCTTGGCGAGAGGGGCTCCTGCCGAAATGTCAGCATGACAGGAGCCACCTGAAGGTTTAGTAAGAAGCAGAGAAAACACCTGAAGCCATTTGGAGCATGTCCTAGGCCTTGCAAAATAAGCAGAGCTGGGGTGAACGCTGTGGAGAATTACAACCCAGATTCGATTTCTCTCTGGGCGTAGACTCTGCGGAGGACGTGCTCAAGGTGTGCCCACAGTGCCCCCTGCTGGCCCCGCTGAACGACACCAAGGTAGTGCACGCAGTAGAGGTTGCCCTGACCGCGTTCAACACTCAGAGCAATGGCTCCTATTTTCAGCTTGTGGAAGTCTCCCGGGCTCAACTTGTGGTAAGACTGAGGCCCTCGGACAGACGGGGCGGTTTGGTGGCACTTGGGGAATGTAGGTGGTGAAACAGCGGGGAGGGACGGAGCAGGTGCAGAGGCAGTGACAGGAAGGCAAGGTGGGTGGTGAGAAAAAGGGAAGAAAGTATCCTTAGGAGTATGAGCGATATGAGGACGCCGGGTGTCCCGAGGACCCAAAGAACCCTAGGTACGTCACCCCTGCTGACTCACTCTGACAGCGCTGTCTGCCCTGGCTTCCTCAGTACTAACTATAACACCAGGGCTCGCTGTGCAGCGAGTGGGAGTTTCGACATTATCCAGAAGCGCTCGCTCTAAATTCCCAGGGCGCCACGTCTTTATCACGCCTCGCCACGCATCAGCCACGGCCCTCTCCTAGTTGAGGCTTAGAAAGGTGGGCATGCAGTGGCAGGATCCCACAATGCCCTTTGAATCACTGAAACACACCGAACCGCACAGTGGACCGCTCAGCACACCGGGGCGCCACAGAATTCTGGTATTTGAGAAATGTGGCCTCCCGGCTGCCAGCGGCGGCATCCTTGGCAATACATGACAGGTGTAGGTGGGGAGGCTAATTAACCGGGATCTGTGGTTCTCCCAACACCCCCACCCCAGACTACACCAAATAGCGTTATTTTATCAGTGTGAGCGTCCCACGGTAACCGCCCTGGGTAAGCCACCGGGGCCATGTTTCCCGGCCACGCGGTGGGGTCCACGCCAATGTTGTTCCCGGGAGTGTGCAACCACACAGCCCCGGCTGCTTCCCTCCGGCCTCTCCTTCCCTGCCTTTTCTGGTTGAGTCACGTGGCCTCACATGCATTTTCATTTGTTCCCATCAGCCTCTTCCGCCTTCCACGTACGTGGAGTTTGCGGTGGCTGCCACTGACTGTGTTGCTGCAGAGGTCACGGATCCAGCTAAGTGCAACCTGCTGGCAGAAAAGGTGAGCAGGCCGGGGGCCCGGGGATGGCCGAACTGGTTGTAGCACAGAGGATCCTCGGAGCAATTGGTGTTGGGGGGCTGGGGAGAAAGAGGTCACAGTGAAGAACACCCGCTCCCTGGGGGGCTGGGTCATGCCAGGCCCTCCTCTGTAACGTGGCCTTCCCCCTCACGAGCTGTCACCAAGTCATCTCACCCACTGGAGGTCCCTGGAGGTAGGAGAAAGGCAGAGGCTGTTTCCTAATGAGGCTGGGTCATGCCCGGCTGCCAGGAGTGTGTTGTAGCTTTTCTAGATACACCTCTGATATGAAACCTTTCAAGTCCACAGTGCGGTAATCTCCACGTCTAGGAATTTATCCTAAAGAGATCACCAGAGATGTTCGCCAGGAATAGACCTAATAAGATGATTCATCACGGATTCAAAATGACCCCCAAAAGACTCAAATGTCCAACAGGAGGGGATCATGGAACAACATGTAAAATAGAAAATTATACTGATCTTAAAAAAATACGTTTTAGGGGCGCCTGGGTGGCACAGTCGGTTAAGCGTCCGACTTCAGCCAGGTCACGATCTCGCGGTCCGTGAGTTCGAGCCCCGCGTCAGGCTCTGGGCTGATGGCTCAGAGCCTGGAGCCTGTTTCCGATTCTGTGTCTCCCTCTCTCTCTGCCCCTCCCCCGTTCATGCTCTGTCTCTCTCTGTCCCAAAAATAAATAAACGTTGGGAAAAAAAAAATACGTTTTAAAAGAATAATGAATGATAGAAGAAAATGTTATTATAGTGAGTGAAAAACGGGAGACAAAATGGCGTAGTCACAATGATCCTAATTTTTTTAAGTTTATTTATTTATTTTGAGAGAGAAAGAGAGAGAGAGAGAGTGGAGGAAGGACAGAGAGAGAGAGAGGGAGAGAGAATCCCAAGCGTTGACTGTGCAGGGCCTGACGCAGGGCTCAGTCCCAACGAACTGTGAGATCATGACCTGGGCGGAAATCAAGAGTCAGATGCTTAACCGACCGAGCCATTCAGGCGCTTCAAAATGATCCTAATTTTTAAGTGATTTTTAAATATATTTAAAAATAAGAAGGGAATACATATATATTAACACAAGTTCTCCTGGGTCACCACTCCTTCTGGGATTACGGGTGATCTCTTACAATCTCAGAGCATACCTGTATTTCCAACCTTCTGCTTAGAGTTATATACTGCCTATCTTCTAGAGACAGAAACTAGAATACTTCAGGGGAAAAAATGTTAAAGGATTAAGCATTTAGTTTCTTCCCCTCTGACTTGTTGGAGTGTCAGTGAAGAAACTTGGGGGGAGAAAATCCGCTTTTTAAACCAGTTCCAATAGCTTCTCTCTTTCTGTGGGCAGCAATATGGCTTCTGTAAGGCAACACTCACTGAGAAGGTGGGTGGGGAAGATGTTGCAGTGACCTGCACCATGTTCCAGACACAGGTAAGGGCATCATGGATATACCTGCCCTCATCTTCAGAATACAGTGATGCCTTAACGGTTACGCAGTGTGTTAGTAATTACAGGGCATTTGCTGCCCTGCCCTTCTGAGCCCCACAGTATAAGTAGCTGTGGGGTATATGTAATCATCAACAAATGAAAGCGTGTTTTAGCCACGCCTCCCCCTCCCAGGAGCTAGCGGCTGCAGGGTAGAGCCCATCCTAGGGAGCGGTTGACAAGTGAGCCTTTCTATTTGCAGGGGGTGGGGGTGGTATTCTGAGCGGCACAGAACAGGTGGCCAGATATGCCTGGAAGCTCCCAGTGGCTGCAGGTGTAGATGATAAGGAGGGGGACACCGCTGGGAAAAGCTATAAGGCAGGATGCTTTTGCTTGTGGGGTGGATGTGTGAGTCCACTGATCCCAAGATAATTGGTGAGAAAGGGGCTACCAGAGGCCAGTTACCCCTCCCTTGCGGCTCTGATGACAATCCTTTGCACCTAGGTAGTTCTTTTTTTTTTTTTTTTTTTTTTTTTTGCCAGATTCCTTGCAAATGAAAATTATTACTTTGAGAGAATTGGGTGGGGGGCCCCATCCAGAAGCGTGGGGGGCCTTGCTTGGGAGGAGAAAGGTAGCTAACATGTAGAAATGGTCCTCTCTCCAGCCTGTGCTCCCGCAACCCCAACCAGATGGCACTGAAGCGTCCCCCGTGGCAGACTCAGCTGTAACTGCACCTCCTCCGGCTGACCCGCCTGCAGCTGCCCTGGTGGTGGGACCTGTGGTGGTGGCAGCCCCTCAGGCACCCCTGCCGGGACACCGGGCCCACTACGACTTGCGCCATGCCTTCATGGGTGTGGCCTCAGTGGAGTCGGCCTCAGGAGAAGCAGTCCACGTGGGCAAAGTACCCAATGTGGCGCAGCCTAGCGTTCCTGTCGCTGCTGGTCCAGTGGTCCGTCCTTGCCCAGGGAGAATCAGACACTTCAAGATCTAGATGTCAGAGATGAAAAGATTTGGCCCAGGAACATAGCCACCATTATTGTCCAAGTCTGGGTATGGGTGGGGCCTCGTTTGCTATCAAA